CAAATCAGATATGGCTACGTAAATTGCTTTTTCAGCTTTATCTAATTACTTGCCTGTCTTCGCCGATGACAGCTTTGTCTTAGATAAGAATCCCATTAAGATGTTTTAAGTCATATTTTATCTCTCACTTTTATCTGTGGTAAAAATAATGTTTTATTTTTGGCGGTGAGGGTTAGGATGCTCAGTATTAAGTCTTTTCTACACTAATGCCAATTTCACGTTTTGCAGTTAAGTTCTCAGATCAAGGCTCTGCGAACCGAGTTATGGCGACATAACTGTTAAACTCGGTATGAAAGTTATAATATTATCAAAAATCATCGCGATGATCGCCCTGATAATGGAGGTAGCAAGGGGCTCTGAAACTTCGGTACAGTTCTACCAGACTACACGGTGCAACAACCCAGAAGACAGCCATCTTCAAATTCACCGCCGTGAAAATTTCAAATCCTACAATGGTCAGAGACTATACGCACACACAAATGTACACACTGCTATGCTATGAGCATATATTTCCGTATAAATGCAGAGTAAACTATATTATAAAGATGTGATCTAATTTAAATAAACTTGATTTGCCTTGAATTTCATTTATTTCGAACACAAATTTTTTGTTGGAAAGTTTGACACGTTCACTGCTTTGAACTGCGTGTTCCAAATAAAACTTATAATTATTAAAGAACTATATTTTATTCATATACCATTGATATACAAGACGAGACTTTTTTGAGCGGGGTTATATTTGACCAATGAAAACCAAAATTAAAATACGTCGACTATTCTTAGTGCAAACTACCAATATCATTTCATGCATTATGCGCAGAAAACCCATAAAAACGTGTAATATTAACAAGTCGTAAAATCGGTCAGGTATCCGACCCGCAAGTCCTCGCTGTCTCAAACTGTACTACGCGGTAGGTCTGTTTCATGTCGCATTAACGAAACTCTTCTTCTGGACTGCGCAGAGCTCTCTCTGGAAGTGTGTCGAGAAAATGGACTTGGTGTCCCAACAAATGTTGTTTATCTTTTCCAATTAATTTCCCTGGCAAACTCTAATGTATGTCCCTGCAGGGATTTTCACTCTAACCTCAGTTTGATAACCTTGATGTTCTCCCTTCTTACTTTATAGAAGTTTCGTTTTACAAAATGGTAGCCACTATCCGGTCCCCTTTCAGCTACTTTGGTACTAAGCCTATTTACACAAGAGTAAAAGAACTTGGAAGAATGAAAATAAGTGGGAAGTTCAAATGTGAGTGGAATTTACAGGTAGAAGCAATGAGAGGTGTCTCACGCTTTGAAATATTCAAGTCTCAAAGAACAAAATTTTATAGTCTGTTTCTACATTAACAGTTTTAATAACTGTTATTTTAAAGATTGTCTTATGTTGTGAGAAATTTATGATTATTTCTTGGTTTATATAATGATAAGATATTGTAGGTGCGTCATATTGTGATTTTATATAAAAATAGTATTAAAATATATTAAAATTATCCGTCAATCACAATAAAGTAATATAAGATAATTAAAGTAATATAAGATAATTAAATTATCTTATATTACTTTATTGTGATTGACGGATAATTTTAATATATTTTAATACTATTTTTATATAATGATGTTTCCATTTACTTATATTATATAACGTAGAATAATTGGTTGATTTATGAACAGCAATTGGAAAGCGTGGGGAAAAAACTTTTCTATCATTTTCCTAGAAATATTGAGGAAACCACGAAATCCCTATATCAGTTTAGAATGTATTTGAGCCGCGATATAAACCCAGGAACTTCCTATAATATATACAAACTTCAGCCATTTAAGGAACTAATACTAAGAAAATTAATGCTCGTTTTCAATTTTTAGTGCTCATACAGACGACTTTCATTTCATTTTAAATCTATTTGTTTTGCTAAGCTTTTTAATTTTTTTTTCTGTATTCTCCATAAGGATTTTGGATGATGCGATTTTGTTCTCTTGCAAGGAACTTTTCGCCAGGAAGAACTGAATAAAACAACGAAGACTCTTAAACTAACTCATTCAAATCAGAATCATGGCGTTTTACGCTGTTCTTCCCCGCTAAGTTTATTTCTAAAACCTGTGCTTTGCAATGAAATATTGAGTATCTTGATGCGAAACATTGGCATAAAAGACAGCTCCAGGAGCAACTTGAAGTCTGTAACCAGCAGACAATATGAAAAGCTACACCGAGACATCGAGTATTTTTTTTTCACAAAGGGGCGTACAGAGTTGGAGGGGAGGGAATTCTGCGGACACAAAACAATTACCGACTCAGCAGTTTCTCATAGCACATGCCTCGATAATGGTACTTTTTTTCCCTCTTAATTTCTTATAGGCTAATGAAAATAAATGCTGCATAAGAGAAACTTTGTCGCCTGTAACACTGACAATACCGATCAATTTACGTTTTACTTCATCCCTTCTCTGTAGATGGGCAAATGCTTCACGCATACCAAAGACAGAAATTCGCGGTTTACATTTCACAAATTCCTGGTTCGGTCTTTGGTTCGGATCTAGACGTGGCGACTAGCGTTTTTCAATGTTTCTCATCAGGGACTGCTAACACTTTGAAAAACGAAAAATATTCATGTCTTACCTTCGTGTTTCAGTCGTTACTCCATAGACTGGAATAAACAAAATCGATTGCACTAAACTGCATCGGTAGCCTATTATAGACAGTCAGGCTCTCTCTACGATAGATACTAACGTTTCGAAGAAATATACAGTCTCCATGTTCAGGTCTGAAGTGTTGGTGGTGGGTAGTGGAGGGATTTATATAGGGTCAGAGCAAAGAAAGGTTAAGGGGAATGGACCCAATTTGTCTAACATTCCCTTCATCTGACTCTACCTACCCACAGCATAGAAACTCATATCATCCTCATCGCCACGACAGTTTCAAATTTCACTAAAATTCAGGATTCATGAAGGCAAGGAATTCTTTATAGCACGAATATCAGTTTTTCAAGGACGATCTGGCACTGTGGAGTTAGGTATGAGAATATTAGTGATCGTAATCTGTGACTTTCGTCACAACTACCGATCATTACAAGCCGATTATTAACATGTTCATAAAAATGCATTTTAAATGCACAGGGATGAAGTTTACATTCCTGCAGGCATGTCCTCTTTCAATTCATCTTAGTTGACGACTTATTATGGTCTGGCCCAGCTGGAATTATGACGGATAGCTTCACAATACAGACTCGGGATTTTAATGTTCTTCTGTGATGAAACTTGGGACTTTACAAAACAGATATTATAATATCCAGAAGAATAATTGCAAATTCATGTAGTGAAACTTTTAACTATAGAGGTAGTTATCAAACTCAGTGAATTTACTATAAAATAAACTACTTTTTGTAGTTAGTGAGGATGATGGTTCAGCCGTCTGTGGATCGGTTCGTTTGTTAGTCACAAATTTAGGATATTATAAACTTTCTGAAATTTTTGGATTCCACGGTGGCGAAACCTTGGATTGTGTGCATCTAGGATAAGACATAATATAGTCTGTAGTGGTTACGAATGTTTCGGAGAAATATTATTCTTCCTTTCTCAAGGTAAAGTGAAGAGCCTGCAGATTCCTGTAGAACGATGGTAACTATCTGCAGATGTGTGCGGCATAATAACCCAGGGACCGTAATCTCCATGATTAACTGCCCGGAAGAATTTTTTAAAAAATAATAGGATCTCCATTCGGTTTAGATGTCGGCCTACCGCATTCGACCGAGCGCTCTCTGCACCAACCACAGCCTCATTATGTTGCAATCAGCTTACACGTGCATTACGCCCCATCAAGTTGATTCGGAAAACAAACATCCAGTCTACTAAAGAAAATTAAACTGGCGCACCTTCTCATAATGATTTCCAGTGTATTAAATGGCCATGTATGGTGATCGTTGTCAATGCCACTTCACTGTAAACGTTGGCCTATTTATTATTACAACTAAGTACATCATGGACCTGGAAGCTTTTTAAAGTTAAATAAACAATTTCTGTTCTGAGTAGCAATGCATCTATAGTCTGGATAGCTTCATATCAATGCATCTGTATCTTTTATAAATGCCGGTCATGGCCAGTGTGGTATACAGAATAGAAAAGAATGAATTTTGAAAATAATTTAGACCTTTCCTCACTGGAGGGTTATTCTTGGAGTTCTGATGGTTGTTACGTCTTTGATGGTTTAACCGATTAAGTTATTTTCCCGGTATCATATGTGAGTGTATGTATGTACACTTGTATGTATGTAGCTACACATGTGGTTCTAAGATTGATGTATATTTCTATGTATGTAACTATATATGTATATATAAAAATGATGTATATATGTATTCCCAATATGTGTGTATGCATGTAAAGAGTACATACAGAATGAACCCATTGTTCCCAAAATGTGATGCATTCTTTAGTTTCTGATGAAGAACT